TTAAGTATGCCAATGGATTAGGGTAGAAATTTGAGTCCAAAAACCCTTGTAATCATGAATCAAATATTTGATTTTAATCAATATTTTTTCAAATCTTTTCCATGAATAACATGCCAATTTGCACCAAATCTTCCCTTTTTTGATATGCACGAGATCTTGAGTCTTTAAGGAGTCTATTAGTTGTATCACAAGATTCAAAACACATGCTTTGCTATTTTTGTCATATTTTATTTAATTAAATGAATTAATGGTGATTAAAAATTCAAATAAATAATAAAAAATGATGAAATAACTTCCCTTTGGGCCAATTGTCGTGCATAGCCTTTGGATGATGATTCTTGGAAGAAATTGTGGCCCATTAGCAATTTTAAGGCATTTGAAGCAAAGTTGACTTTTCAAAATTCCCAAAAATTTCCCAACTTCCACAAGGCATATCTTGCTCAATTGTTAGGCTTTGATCATGTTCTTGGACATTTTGGAAAGGTCTTGAAGTCCTCTAACCAATGCCTTTGGTCCCATGTCATTTTGATTTACCAATCTCAAGTTATGGTCTTTGACTTAAAGTCCCTTTTTGTTGACTTTTGAAAATGACCTATAATGTTGGAATTGATAACTTTTTGTGAGAGCATTTCTTGGACTTGAAGTGTGAAGAGGAGTTGTAGGAAATGTCTTTCTCTTCAAAATGAGCTTTGGATGGAATTTTTCTGATAAACCATGTGGAAGTTATGCCCTGGTCAAGTTACAGTTGACTTTTTCAACTGTCCAAATATGGAAACTTTTGCATCTTGAGACTTTTTGAGCAATGCTTTGAAAATCATAATCAAGAATTGATCAAATGATGTTTGTGGCTTCAAAATGAGATGTTGACCAAAAATTTGAACTTTTGACTGTCAAATGACCATTTTGCCCCTACAGTTGACTGTTGAGCAATTAGGGTTTTTGACTGTGCAATTTTGTGCTGTAAGTCTTGAAACTTGGCATATGGATGCTTGACCATGTTTATAGGCATGTGGGACTTGATTGGACCCTTGGAAACTTCAATTTCTTTTCCATAACCAAAACCCTAGTTTCTGACTGTTATGAGGCCCTTGAACTGTGCAACCCTTGGGGAGATTTTGAAGCATGCTCTTTGCAAATCTTGAAGAATATGGGAGGGCAAATTTTGGGGTACAACATACTCGATCACATTCGAACGGGAAACATTGCTTCCCCAAACATGGATAATGGAACATTTTCATCACTTCAAGAATGGATGACTAAATATGGGTTCATACAGACTCTGGCCATCATTGCATTCAAGTGGAAAGGTTCAACATTCACATGTGGAAGGAAGGTTGTTTGCATAGTCACATGAATGGACGAAGTATCTCTCATTTTTGAAAGGTTTGGAAATGAAAATCCAAACGGCAAAAGGTTTGAATGGGTTGAGATTGTTTTTAAGAGTTTTGTGAAAATGTGAAATGAATCAAATTTTAAGGGTCTTAAATGGAATCCAAAGCATCCAACCAATGACTTAAACAACCATCACCCAAATGCATAAAGAACAACTTGCACAAAGAAGTACAAACCCTTCTTGATTCATCCATTATACACAAAACTAGATTAAGTTATTTAACGTGTTTTGAAGTTTTTGATTATGAAAAGGAAGTTTGAAAAATGCACTTGGTGTTAACCAAGGCTTATTACGAAATTGTTTGAATGAAGGCTTGAGTGCAAAGCGATTTGGAAAAGTAACTTGATGTTGATGAAGTGTTTGAAATTATCTTGAAAAAGATTGATTTTACCGCGCATTCATTTTTATCTTGTTTAACAAGTGATATAGTTTAAAGATGAATGAAAAATAAAATAGTGAAGATCAAGCACAAGATCAATCATACAAGCATAAACCCATGTAAATGACAAGTAATTCACAATGACAAGATTAATCCTAAGAGATAAGCAACTAAAAGAAAAATCTTTTTGTTCTTTTAAATGTTTTAAAAAGAAAGTCTTAAACATACATCTAAAAGAAAATGATATTTTTGATCCTTTTTTGAAATTGGTTCATTTTACATTAATCTTGAATTAACAATTATCTAACGCAATAAAAACAATCAAAGTAAAACGGTAAAATTATTATACGTCATGAGAATGGGATAATATTTTATTACATGGTGAGAATGAAAATAATAAAAAAAACTAAAGGAAATAAAATAAAATACAAAATAAAAAAAATAAAAAAAAAAAAATAAATAAAAGAGAAGGGGATGCACTATCAATACAAGAGTGGGAAAGAGTAGAAAAGATAAATGGACTTAAGGCCTTATTTTTAAAAAAGAAAAGCAAGAAAAACAATAAATAAAAATAAACAAAAGACAAAATGAGCTACAAAATAGGGATCCAATTAGTAAAATGCTCTAGACCCAAAGCAGAGGATCTCATAGAGGTCCTTTGAGAAATCAAGGGGGGGTATGGGAAGACTTCTTCCTCAGTCCCATATTTGATACTATTCCCGTAACAACAAAAATGGAAGAAAAAACTTTCAACGAAATAGTAAAAATGTTATAATTTTCTCTATTTTTCATAGAATTAAGCAAATAAATAATGAAAATTCATCTACTCGATCTCACGAACAAGAACTCATGCTCAAAATTAGAAAATAAATAACAAAAATTTACGGAAAAAAATAAAAAAACACAACAACTCATTTTGACCTGATTTGGTCAAAACTTACTCAATTTTCATTGAATTAAGCAAATGAATAATGAAAATGCATATACTCAATCCCATAAACAAGGATCTATGCTCAAAGTCAACAAATAAACAACCAAAATTTACCCGAAAAAAAAAGGAAAAATAATTCACATTTAATTAGTTTTGCTCATAGAGGTTCAAAAATACTTTAAACTCTTGATTTTAAATAAATGGAGCTTTCATGCAAAATTGTGATGATTAAGATACTAATTAAGTGAAACAAAAGTAAAAATGCAATAGAATTATATAAAGAGCAAGCATAAGATCCATTAAACAACAACAAATCACTTTTGCTTTTGGTTGACTTTATTTGATGATGGAAATGCATATGGCTAAAAAAATACAAAAACTTGATAAATTGACATGTATCAGATGAATAAAAAGAGTGGAATAAAATAGGGGTATGATACTTATGTAGATAAAAAATGTTACAAAAAGCATGCAAAGAAACACATAAACATAAACATAATCATAATCATAAATAAGGAGGAGAACGCGAAAAACGAAGGGAGCTACAAAAGACTATTATTTTGCACCATCATAATCATTAGTCATCTCAACATTACCATCCTAAAATAGAGGACGAGCAACGATCCTGAAGGCATCCAGATAATCAACAATGTTATCAACCCTAGTGCATAAATGCGAGAAAATTCTGAAGTGATCCTCGAACCTCCTGGTGTGATTCATGCAACAAACTGTTTTTCTCCTATGAGTTTGCAAGGATGGCTCAGAAAGGATCTTCAGATGGATGAGATGTAGGTATGTCAAAGTCAAATTCTTCTAGATTTCTCCATTCTTTTTGTGAGAAGCTGGAGGAGCTGGAAAATTTAGAAGGTTGACCCATACTTCATCCCTCTTCAATATTTTTATTTGATTCAAATTAGGATCATTGATCATTGATTTGCATGTATCACATTATTCTCCTTCAACATCGATTCCATCATGATGTAGAATTTTTTTTTTGTAATTAGACCATAGGGTAACCAAGTGCTACCCATCTAACAAACTATCATATGTTGAAGGAGAAGAATGTGATATTTTTCAAAAGAAGCGCTTCTAATTGATTATGGAAAGAATAAATCCGTTGCATATTTGAATAAGGAGCACTTCTAATCAATTATGATATTTTTCAAAATATAATCGATTACGATGGAAGGGGTAATCAATTATTCAACACACCTTTTTGATTTGGATTGTTGTAATTTTTTATGCATAAGACATGATCAATTATGATGAAAAAAGAACTGACAATTTCTTTTTCCGCCCTATAGTTTTCTCACAAATCACATGAAATTTCAAAAATATCCTTAAAAATCAAAAATATATTTCCGATACACACCCACAAATATACAATTCATTCATTTTTAAGATTTATCCCATTTTACAACTAATTTTATTCCGGAAATACACTTCGAGACTAAACCAAAAATACAATTCCAGTTTCTAGTCCAAAATGTTCTGTTAATGCATTTCAAATTCATTGGTGCCACTTTCAATGCATTATCTTTATTCTTGCTTTTTACTATTCATTGGTTTTTCAATTTACAAATATCCTACCTTATATAATAATTTGGTTTATATGATAGATATAACATCAATTACATTTTTAAATAATTAGTTATATGGAACACATCAACTATCATATTGTTTCATCCATGTCTGATACAAAATCGAAAGTATATTTCTATTTATTTCGAAAATGTATTTCTGATTTCCAATCAATTTTAATAAAAAAATATGCGCATTAGAAATATATTTTCGATTTTTAGAAGTAGTTTAAAAAATACATATGATATTTCTTTTCACTATAGAGTGGAAAGAGAAATTACCAAAAGAAACTTTACTTTTAATATTTTTGGGATTTTAGTGCATTTGCACCTCCTTTTTTACTTTCTACATGATACTTATTTTCTTAATTGGAGAAAACATTAGTAATATCAGTTAAAATATAGTTTATTTGAATGTCAAAATTTTGAAAGGAATAAAATTTGATAAAGTGATACAATGACATTACACCTTGATTTTATTTCATGCTTAATAATCTTGATCTTCCTTTAGAAAAATTGCAAAATAAAAGTGGGGGAGTTGATAAGCAACGAATAGATACAATACAAGAATAATAATATACAACATTGATTCATCATGAAAGCGATTTTTTCCAGTGCAATGGAAAAGGTACCAGTGTTATAGATGGTAGATTACAAGGCAGAAAATAACTTAAAAGGAGAAGCAATTAATAACAGACCATACGTTATTATTATGAATCAGAAGTACTCCTCAGTCCTTCCCTTGAAACCAATTTGACCCAAAGTGAGGGAGATGAACAGCCCCAAGTGCCAACAGATCAGCCATAACCTATTCAACATGTTTCAAATATTCATCAACTGCAACCATAAAAGGTCCCATGGTCTAGCGGTTAGGACATCAGACTCTGAATCTGGTAACCCGAGTTCAATTCTCGGTGGGACCTTTATTTTTGAAAAATATTGTATTTTTTTTTTTTTTTTTGTTTTCGCAATTTCATCCGGCACATATGTTGTTTATATAGATTATAGTCGTCGCACAATTTTTTTCATCATAAAAACGGTAAATAACAGTATTGATATTGACACCACCGTTTTGTCTCAGTAACCAAACTTTTTTAAAAACCTTGATTATTGCATATAGCAGAGAATCAATTGAACTCAAATGAAGAAAGTGAGAGAGACGACTAACCAAAACTGTGAAGAGAGAGCAGGAGGAGTAGGGAAGTGAGCAAGTTCAGTTCCGATGCTATCAAAGAAAAGTCCAGTCAGACTTTTACCGTCAATAGCCGGTATGCTAGACGGTGCCAACCAACCTATCAACCCAAATCCAATCACATTGAAATCCCTCCTTAGCCAATCCCTCTGGAAGCTTCACACCATCACAAATAAATGTCACATTTCATCTTTTTCATCATCAATATAAATATCCATAAAGATCAAATAATTCAATTTAAAAATAAATCACAGACAATTTAAATTTTAAATTTTAAACACTGACACGACAACAACGATAATAATTTTAAAAAAATAATATAATAAAGATAACCAATCATATATATCGGTGGCGATGGACATAGACACCTTTTTTTAGAAGTTTTGATACTACATAATTAAAAACCTTACAAAACAATCTTATAATAAAATTACCATGTAACCCTTCCACCATTTCCTCTTGCCATAGCTTGCCTGAAAGGATTCCTAGCAGTTACTTGAGGTTTCACAAATCCTGAAAAAAATCACAATTAGAATAAATACAAACATATCAAAAATTGATACATGATTAATTATGCCTTAATTAATGACAAGTATACCTGAGGTGAGACGTGATGCACCACCCATTCCTACGACGGTTGCAAAGGTTGTTGTTGCCATTCTAGTATGTGATTTTGGGGTGGACAATGCAAAGAGATTTGAGTTAGATATGTGAGGAATCTAGTGGTGATGGTAGTTTTGTGTTCCAATTATTATTATTGTTGGATTCTATGAAAAAAATTGAATCCTTGTGAGTAGATTAGGTTTGGATTGCGTTTTCGTGGGTGTGCTGATTACTCAATCACATCATGCCACATTGGAGAGTTTGGGATAAAGTGGGGTCATCGTTAATCCCTTGGTTGTCACTCCATCTAGCAGGATTACAAAGATACTAGTAGGAAACAAAATTATTTTATTTCGATGTGGAAATTAGTTATATGTTAGAGAAGTCCAACTAGGTCTTCCATATAGTGGTGAGTGTCTCCAATTAAAAAAAAAAAGTGTATTTGTAATGTTAGAGAAGTGTAAAATTGTAAGAGTATTTTGAATCGTATTTTGTGTGATCAAATCATACTTATATATGAGTGATAGTTAGAACCACCTCCGACAAACACGACTTTATGTACGTAACATTGTTGGATGAAATTCAACGGTTGAGATGTGCATGATGTAACACTGTTTTGATGAGTGTCGACCCACCAATCATCAGCTTTCTCTGTCAGTATATGTGTACTAAATTACACCTTTTGTGTCTCTGAGCAATTCATGATCCGAAAGATCCTTTCAATCTCCTTGAGCTAAGTCAGCGCTCCATTAGGATCGTACCTATCCTTGAAAGTAGGCGGATGGTTCCTCTGAAACGTCTCCAAGACACGAGAATCATCATTCTCGCCAGCACGAGGCTGTTGTGCACAGCCTGAGCAACAACCTGCAAAGCAGCAGCAATCACAACATCGTTCTTTACAACCATTTTACATAAAAAAAACTAACATCAGAAAAACAGTGTATCGACAATGTATTCACACTAATCGAATGACATGGCATGCACATCATAGAAAACCTGATCGGACGAACCGACCTGCTCTGATACCACTAATGTAACACCCTTCTAAACTCAATGAATCATTATAATATTAATCAACCATAAATCACCAACAAGGGTGTCACATCTTCATAAAAACATCAAATAAAACATTATGCTCCGTAACACGGGCTTTCAAATAATTTTAAACGATCATTTCTTTGGTAACATCAACAAACAATTCAAACTTCGCAGCGGAATGCATGATGCATGATATATGTCATGAATGCATGAATGCATGATGCACAACAACATAAATAACACCTGACCACTGCTAGTCAAAACGCGTCATTATCCATGTAATCATCATAATATCATCACATACTTCACAATACACATGGCATCATCATAACATCATCGATTCATTATACAAACATACATCATACTACGTCAACTCATATTCACATCAATTCGTCATAGCAACATCTCAATTCACCACTAAAAATCTAATTTAATCATAGCAAAGGTACTGAAAAAATACATCATCCTACTAATTTTATTCTACCAAAACATATTTTATCGCGTTAGCCCTCTAACGCTTAGAAGGACGCGTCAAACAGAGTCCTGAAACTCAAGTTACAACACTTTAAAAATTGTCTGTTGCCCCTGCCTGGAGGCTCTCCGGCGAAGCAGCTTTCTCACTTGAGGCTCGTCCGACGAAGTTGGGGTAACTCACCTTTCCCCATACAAAATTACAGGCGCTCTATTTTTTTCACCCTTCCCTTCACCTCTTAACTCGCTCAGCGAGCTCGTGCTCGCCTCCGCTTCGCTCGGTGATGCTGGAGCGAGACTCCTTCTCTCATACATTTTTCAGGTGCACCCAAAATCACAAGTTCACTCATCTCACTATCGCCCGGAGCTGCCCAGTCGGACTGGATTCGCCCGACGAAGCATAAAGCTCGCCCGACAATGCAATGCGATTAGGAACTTCGTGGTGCAATTTCTACACTACACCAGTCCTAAAATCCTTACGGTTTCACATCAAAGCAGACCCAAAATCACATAATTCACATGTTTTCACAGATACAACAACAACAAATCATTTTATAGCATTACAACATCAATCTATCATCAATTTTATCATCTAAGTCATCATAATAATCATATTAACAAGTTCCTCATAAAATCCCCAAACAAACCTATATACATCTAAACCCTATATCAATTATAATAATCAGGATAACCCCATTACCTTAGATTCTAACTTTGATTCCTGTTTCAAGCTCTATGGTTGATTCTCTTCTCTTTTCTTCGTGCCCTAGCTCTTCACTTCTCTCTTCGTGACCCTCTTTTTTTCTTCCTTTTTGTCCCACTTACCCCTTTGAACCCTTAATATGTTATTTCACTCTTGCCCACACTTACTCCACATAACATGACTAATAAGCCCTTAACATCTCTACTCCAATTACTCTATTTTATTTAATTTTAAATAATTCTAATTCTAATTAGTAATTCTAAACAATTATACTAATTATTTAGATTATTATATTATTCTAATTTTCACCTTAATCCACACTATCCCACGATACACCACACATACATCGCACATCAAATCATGAATAATTCACACATAATCACATCACACATCATAATTCAACAAAACATCATATATTCTTAAATATTCATCATATAATCAATTAAATAAATACTCTTAATTAATTTAGAGTGTTACAACTCTCCCCACTTAAAAGAATTTTCGCCCTCGAAAATTACCCGGCGAAAACAAAATCGGATAAGACTCTTTCATCTATTCCTCACGTTCCCAAGTCCAACTATCGTCAGCTGGTCCACCCCATAATACCTTCACTAAGGCAATGTATTTACCCCACAATTGCTCCACTTCCAGATTTTCTATCCTCACGGGTGATGTTTCAACAATCAGGTTATCTCTCACCTGTACATCATCCATCTGGATCACATGTGAAGGATCCAGAATATATCTCCTCAACTGAGACACATGAAACACGTCATGAAGATTTGCAAGCAACGAAAATAAAGTAATTCGATAGGCCACTTAACCTATCCTCTCAGCAGTCTGATATGGACTAACAAAACGCGATGTAAGCATTTGTGACTTTAGAGCCCTACCAACACCAGTCACCAGAGTAACTCTCAAGAACACATGATCATCCTTTTGTAAATCAAGTGCCTTCCTCCTCTTATCGTGATAACTCTTATGAAGACTCTGAGAAGCTTTCGTCCTCTGTTGGATCATTTTGATCTTCTCATTTGTTTCCTGCATAATCTCAGGTCCGAGCACAACATTCTCACCTGACTCATACCAACACAATGGAGTTCTACACCTCTTACCATATAATGCTTCATACGGTGCCATTCCAATTATAGAATGGAAACTATTATTATAAGTAAACTCAATCAACAACAAGTGCTTATCTCAAGCTCCTCCTTGTTCTAGTACATTAAGCCCTCAACAAATCCTCCAAAGATTGAATAGTCCTCTCTGTCTGACCGCCCGTCTACAGATGATTTGCGGAACTCAACCTCAACTTAGTACCAAAAGAATTATGCAAAGCTTCACAGAACTTCAATGTATACCTCATATATCTATCTGATACAGTACTCGAAGGTATCCCATGCAATTTCACAATCCCCTCAATATACATCTCAGCCAGCTTCTCCATAGGATGATTAATCTTCATCAACAAGAAATGAGCCGACTTAGTTAACCTATCCACTATCACCCAAATTGAATCATTTCCCTTAGAGGTCTTCGATAAACCCGACATAAAATCCATAGAAATATTGTCCCATTTACATTGTGGAATGTTTAATGGCTGCTTATGACAAGTCAAACAAGCATAAACAAATTTGACAACTTCCTTTTTCATACCGGGCCACCAAAATAATTTCTTCAAATCTCGGTACATCTTCGTAGCACCAGGATGAATACTCAGTCCACTTCGATGCCCTTTTTCAATAATACTCCTCTTAAGATCTAGAACATCCGGAACACATTGTAATACGGTGGGAGAACTGACTTGGTTGTTTTGCGTTTGATCGTAATTGTTGCGGATAGCAAGAGTCGCCACCGACTTTTCTTTTATCCAATAAGGGAAAGGTGAAAAGAACATGAAATACCTTTGAGATATTTTCTTGAGTTCGGGGGGTAGGTTATGAAAAGGGAAGGTGTTAGCACCATTTTCATCCATAGTTATCTATGGGCTCTTAGTTGCTTGCTAGATCACTTTTGAAATTGATTTGTTTGAAATATGTTTGTGGTGGGTTTTGAAAATATTTTGGAAAAGCGCTTTCATTTAGGCAAACTTTGTAATGATTCTCGTCTATATAAGAATGCATACAAAGTGTTGAACTTTTTGAAAATATTTCATATTTTAAAAGTTTTTGGTGTGTTTGTTTTGAAGATGAATTGTGAGCAAGCAACTAAGAATGTTCTACCTACTCAAGAAGTCATTAGTTCTTTTACTCCTCCTTTGAAATTGATATCTTACCATTTGATTGGTAAGAAGCCTTATCTTTGGATGTGAAGGGACGAGAGTGATTTGTCGTATAGTCATTGAAAGCAACTTATGAGAGGCTTTAACAATTTTCGTAGGGACTAAGATTGTTTTATCGAAGGGTCATCGAGGGACTACGATCTTTTTATCGAGGGTCTTTACTAAAGCGTCTATATTCGAGGGACATGACTATTTTCCGAGGCAACGTGCGAGGTTACCCTAGAGGTGCTTGTGTGAAAAGTGTGTTTGATTGCATACATTTTTGTCTTTGAGATTAGGGTTTTCTAAGTATTGATTTTATCTTTCCATACACACCCTAAATACTAACAATTATATGAAAGCAATAAATTTGCGGAAACTAAAATCCTACGCTATTACATCATTAGGGGGATGGGGGATACAAATGAGGATGAAATAGGAGCTTAAATATTACAACCATATTGAATAGAAATGAAGAAAAGCATGAAAAATATGTAAAAACAGTTGTTGTACCCAAAAATTTACCCTCCCATATTTCTCAAAACATTTCAAGTGAGATCCTCAAATTGCTCAAGGAAGTCCAA